ATGACTAAAAAAAATAGTCGTGTTCTAATTAACATTTGACACGGTCCTTTAATTCATATCCATTAATCTTATTTAGTTAAATTAATTATCACATGGCATGAAAAATATATTGGAGCTATTTTAGCATAGAAAGTATTGGAGCTTCTTGCTCTTGTGCACAAGGGTAAAAAGAAAATTTTCAGATTCTTTGTTTATGTTATCTTTTACTTTGTTTGTTGGATCTGATGCCACACAATAACATCTTGTGGCATTGAATATTTTTCTTTTGAGCTTTTTGGACCAGACTAGTGATTACCCTGTTTATTAATTTAGATCATAAGGGTCGCTCTGAATCGGTGCCCACCAAACTTCATTTAAAAGAGAGTAAAATAAGGTGAAAGATGCTTAGATTGAAAGAAAGAAAGAAATACTAATAATAAACAAACATGACAATTAGATCCTCAGATATATTAAGAATTTTTAAAAAGTAATAAATATAATCAAATTATTCTAAAACATCAAATGTTTACATATTTTTTTTTAAAAATAAAAATAATTTTAAAATCCTTTAAATTTTCAAGGATATTGTACAATTTCTCCTACTAAAATTCAACAATCTTCATCGTTAAACACTCATTTTTTAAGCTTTGAAAGACGTAAAATTTCAATGGGACCCATGACAAAATAAATTGTCTGCTAAGAAAACTGAATTTTCTCGGAAAAAACTATGCAAAAAATAATAATAAATGGTTCGTTCTTATTTGTATATTGATTAAATATCTGTTCGCATATGATTTTTCACGTCCAATTTAAAACGATAAATATCAGCTTTTATACAAATCAAACATTTGAATGTAAAGAGAAAAGAAGAAATTGTGTCAAAAAATTATATCTATATATATATATATGAAGAGGGTTTAAACGACACCGGTGTAACTTTTATTAAGTGTTACACCGTTCAATAATTTTATATTAAATGTGAATTTTGAAAATCTAACTATTAGATTGAATGTTCATATCTCTTAGATCATATATATCAAATTTTATATTAATCTAAAATGATTTGATACTTCATTATCATAAAACAAAATTGACGTAATATATACATTTCAAAATATACTAAAATATGAACACTTTGATTACCTTCAAGTTGTTGTTTAATTTTAACAAAATTTGACATATATGAGATATGAACTTTCAATCTAACGGTTGAATTTTCAAAATTCACATTTAATATAAAGTTATTAAGCGGTGTAACACTTAGTAAAAGTTACACCATTATCGTTTGAACCCTCCTCTATATACACAGACATAATCGATTATGTTTGTATATATACATGACACATAATCAATTATCTTATATATACAAAAACATAATCGGTAAATGAACAAAAATGAGCTGCCAGCCTTCTCAATGCAAAAGTTTTTTTCTAGTGGATCCACTGAAATTCAACACTCTTCCACGCAATTACGACGCTTCTAAACACACATTTTTTTAGTCTCGTTTGATAGCATAGAGCGTGAGCAGAGGGAAAGGGAAGAGCGCAAAATGACACTTTTTTATGCGTGCTTGAATATGCAGAAATAGCGTGAAAAAACGTAAAATTTCAATGAGACCTAAAAAAAAAAACTTCTCTGCCAAGAAATTTGAATTTACACAGAAAAAAACTATTAAAAAAATGACTCGTTCTTGTTCGTTCAACGATGTTATATATGCATAACACAAGGTGAATGACACAATCAAGTATGTTATACATATAAAAAACATAATCAATTATGTTATTATATATATATATATATATATATTATTTTACTATTATTTTTAAGAAAGGAGTTATTAAGAGTTGAGGGAAGTTACATATGCTTCATTACTTTTGACCTCTTTCCTCATTTCTTTCTTACGCTTTCTAAATAACAAGGAGAACTCAGAGAAGAGGAACAATCAGATTTTTCACATGCTTCGACTTCTACTCATCAAGGTAAGAGAAAGTAAGAAACCTCGCTTGTGGGTATAGAAATAATTGTTGGGTAGTAAATAAAGTTTAAGATGGGTGACTTATATTTTTATTTATCTTCTTTTGGATTGTAGGATGAACACGACTACATCGCTTTCAATTCAACCTCCACCACCACCATTTGATCGAAAGTATAATTAATTTCAGTTTGGGAATTTGGGTTGAATTATGACATGATCTTCCTTCATAAGATTTTGAATAATCAGATTAATATTCGATGTCAATCGCAACTATACATTGATTGTCATTTGCAAACAAGATCAGTTTACAGGAGAATGAACTTTCTTTTTCTTTTTCCCTTGACATAGCTTGTGTCCTTTGGGTTGTGTACTTGTGAGAAAAAGTACACATCTTCTTTAAAGTCTACTATATTTGGTTTTTGAATTAGTGGGTGTACTTGTAAATAAGACTTTGATATTAAAGTTAGCAAATGTTCATAGTGCGTGTATGTAATTTCAAGAATAAGCATACCTTATAAAAGTAAAATCCAAACATATAAATAGGAGAGAAAATGTTACCATTAGTTCATAAAATATTATTGAACATTTAAGATTTTTAATTGTAATGTAATAGTTGAATGTTACTTTTTGCCAGACTTAATCGTGGAGGCAAGGTTTTCGACATGCCAAGGACTACTTGGTTTAGGAGTTACAGTGGCTAGGCTTGCTGATTAGTGTTCATACATATAACTGTAATTAATCGAGGTACTAGCCTTCTAAGGTCGTGGTGACAACTGAGATATCTTTGGCAAGGTGATCCAGGACCTATCCAGTACATTAGCCTCCATGTCTTCGACTTTTAGGGAGAAAAGTTTGTTTCCATATGGATCATCCTTTTGATGGGAAGAAATTTTATTTTCAACTCTCTAGTTTGAAGTTTTGATACGCCATCATTTCATAATACATAATGTCAAGGTTGTTTTAAAGGTGTAATGATGACATTGTTAATTATTGTAGAACCTTAAGGAGACTTGAGCTCAAAGGGACACAAAAATGTGAAGGGACGCCTCGCCTCATTCGTTGATCTTGGGGAGATCTAATGGTTCATAATGGTGTGACGCTTCATCTCTCGCAACTCTTCATGTCTATAAATAAGACCCCTTAGTTCTCTCTAGGATGCCTACAACCACTGCCTTCCAAACATTCCAAACACTTCTCATCATTCTGTCTCCTCTTTAGCAATCGAGAATTAAGTACCTATCAGGTACGTCTCCTTTCTTTTCTTTCTTTTTATTAGTTCAAGCAGTAGTGTAAAGTCTTTTTTTTTCTCTTTTAAAATCCTACGAAATCCTAAACCAATACACCCCTCTTAGATTAATTTTTTCTCACTTGATTAAATCCTAAATTTTCTCTCACTTGATTAATTTAAGAGTTATATTTTAATCCTTTCATCTTTCATAATAAATTCTCTCTCACGTGATATGCTCTATATATATATATATGTGTGTGTACAAAACATAACCAGTGAATAAACGAAAATGAGCTGTGTTTTTTTTGTGGTGGATCCACTAAATTTCAAGAACATTCTTCCATGCAACTTCCACACTTCCAAACACATTTTTTAAGTCTCGTGTAGTAGCACAGAACATGGGCAAAAGGGAGGGAAGAGCGCCAAACAACACTGTTTTAGGCATGTTTGGAAGCATGGAAGAGCTTCAAATTTCAGTCAAACCCGCAACATAAAACTTCTGCACTGAGAAAGCTGAAAATTTGTGTAAAGGATAAAAAAAAGTGACTCATTTTCGTTGATTCACTAATTATGTTTATTTATATATAACACAATCGATTATGTGTTATGTATATATAATACATTATGTGCTATGTATATATATAATATATAATACATAACATACAATCGTTTATGTTTATGCATATACGTGACACAAAATCAATTATGTTATATATATACAAAAATCTTCTCAACGCGAAAGATATTTCTCGTAGATCGACTTAAATTCAACACTTGCAACTTCCGCATTTTTAAACACGTGTTTTTTCGTGTTGTATGTTGACCCTGTTGAGGATGATGATAGTGTTGTTATGTTGTAAGTTTCTTATTTGTATACAAGTTGATGATGTTGCTAGCGTTGCTAGATTACATGTGTTGTAAGTTGCTTTTAAACATGTGTTGTTGAGAGGTGTGCAATACATGTGTTGGTTGTTGTTATGATGAATATGGTAACTATTCTAATGGTTAGTATAGTAGTTACGTTGAAGTGTTGATACAGTGTTGATATGTTGAATCAAGTTGAAATGATGCTAAGATGTATATGATGTGTTGTTTGTCTTCTATGTCAGATGTGAAGATGATTATATAGTTGTTGTGTTGCATATTTAATTATTATAAGTTGTTTATTGTCTCTAGCTTACCCTTGCATGTTTCCATGTGGTTTGGACTATGATCATACGATGTATGGGAGCAGGACAGGGATAGTCTGGGAGATAGCTACTAGAGGCCACAAGAGGTGTCTGGAGTTGGATTTTGTTTTGTAGGCTACCTTATAGTAGCATATTTTGTTGTATATAGCTGGTTGTTGTTGGTTGCTCGATTAGCAACTTGTGTTGTAATTATTTTTATTATACTATTTTATATATATTCCAGTAGTGTGTAGTGTAGTTCCGTAGTGTGACGGCCATGGTGGATCGTTACATATGTCATTATCACTCGGGATCCATAAGACACTCCATAGAAGACTGCAAGTCCTTGAAGCTCCATGTACAAGGACTCATCGATTCTGGATGGCTGAAGTTCGAGGCCAACACACCTAGCATCGACATATGTAATTAACAATATATTTATTACACAATTTATAATAATAAACTAGAACATACTAAAAGACAAAATCTTATCGAAGAAGATTTATATTATAGTGAAAACTAAATAAAATATAAGTATGTCAATATAGTATGCTAAAAACACAATAATAACATAAAACGTTTAAACTTGAACAAAGTAATAGTCAAATACAATAAAATATCCCGAAACAAGTAAAATAAAGAAGCTTAATTAAGGGTCTTCTGCTATGTCATCAAGAGCATCATCAACAGCATGGTCAGGATCATCTGGGGTAGTACTCGGTGCAGGAGGGGTTGGCCTTAAAGGGTCAATGTTGAGATGGCGTAGTATATACTGCATCTGCTCATCATGCTGTTGAACTTGTATTAGCTTCCTTTTATATAATGTCATAACTAACTTACAAAAAAGAATAATTTCTAAGTTATAAATTAAAACATAACTGAATTGGAATTTCTAAGTGATAGCCAGTGTCCAACAGCAGTCCAACAACATAACAAAATCAAGTACAAGAAAATAAACAAATTGGCCCCTTTCTTGAGTAAACTCATAGTATAAAACGAATCATCTTCTATTAACGATTTGGCAGCACCCTAAGTGCAGAAGTAGCAACAAGAGAAGAGAATCAGGACAAAACATAAAACCCCTTGAGGATGAAACGAAAATTCAAATTGTCTGCTACTTTCTTGAAAAAAAGAAGAGACAGTAATCTGTCCATTAAAATTTTATATTCCATACCAAAGGAAGTTATATTTACATGTCTAGTCAAGGAAGTTCATTTTGTTGTCAGAAAAGCCACAAGTTTATACATATCTAGAGAAACAACAATACAGCAAAGTAAAAGTAATTAGCATGGCGAATGAGATAAAAACTCATGTAAGGGAACGACTTTAGAACAGTATCTTAACTCCCAAAGAATGCTAACAAATACAACGAGCATAGAGTAAGAACTTGGCTTTTCTAATTGTTTCGCACTACCCTGAATGGCTTGCAAATTTAGTGCCGATATTGAAAACGAATGGGAAAGTTCGAGTCTGCATAGACTACCAAGATTTTAACAAAGCAAGCCCCAAAGATCACTTCCCTCTACCACACATTGACATGTTGGTAGACAATACTACCACAAACACCATCTTTTCATTTATGGATGGATATTCAGGATACAATACGAGAAAACATCCTTCATCACACCTTGGGGGCACATTTTACTACAAGGTTATGATTTTTAGGTTGAAGAACGTTGGAGCTACCTACCAAAGAGCTATGAGGACTCTATTCCACAACATGATCCATAAGGAGGTCAAAGTCTATGTGGATGGCATGATCACGAAGTTAAATATTTGTAAAAATGTTAACTAGTAAATATTAAGTAAAGTAAATTTAAAGTTGAAGGTGTTTATTTATAAAAGAAGTAAAATTTAAGAAATAATTAGAACAAAATCCAAATTTATAGTATCTATTTATAAATAAGATTAAGTATAAGATTGATTAGAATAAAATTAAATTTTAAAATATTTATTTATATAAAAATATATATATTTATAAGAGAAATAAAGTTTAAGATGGGTGACTTATATTTTTATTTATCTTCTTTTGGATTGTAGGATGAACACGACTACATCGCTTTCAATTCAACCTCCACCACCACCATTTGATCGAAAGTATAATTAATTTCAGTTTGGGAATTTGGGTTGAATTATGACATGATCTTCCTTCATAAGATTTTGAATAATCAGATTAATATTCGATGTCAATCGCAACTATACATTGATTGTCATTTGCAAACAAGATCAGTTTACAGGAGAATGAACTTTCTTTTTCTTTTTCCCTTGACATAGCTTGTGTCCTTTGGGTTGTGTACTTGTGAGAAAAAGTACACATCTTCTTTAAAGTCTACTATATTTGGTTTTTGAATTAGTGGGTGTACTTGTAAATAAGACTTTGATATTAAAGTTAGCAAATGTTCATAGTGCGTGTATGTAATTTCAAGAATAAGCATACCTTATAAAAGTAAAATCCAAACATATAAATAGGAGAGAAAATGTTACCATTAGTTCATAAAATATTATTGAACATTTAAGATTTTTAATTGTAATGTAATAGTTGAATGTTACTTTTTGCCAGACTTAATCGTGGAGGCAAGGTTTTCGACATGCCAAGGACTACTTGGTTTAGGAGTTACAGTGGCTAGGCTTGCTGATTAGTGTTCATACATATAACTGTAATTAATCGAGGTACTAGCCTTCTAAGGTCGTGGTGACAACTGAGATATCTTTGGCAAGGTGATCCAGGACCTATCCAGTACATTAGCCTCCATGTCTTCGACTTTTAGGGAGAAAAGTTTGTTTCCATATGGATCATCCTTTTGATGGGAAGAAATTTTATTTTCAACTCTCTAGTTTGAAGTTTTGATACGCCATCATTTCATAATACATAATGTCAAGGTTGTTTTAAAGGTGTAATGATGACATTGTTAATTATTGTAGAACCTTAAGGAGACTTGAGCTCAAAGGGACACAAAAATGTGAAGGGACGCCTCGCCTCATTCGTTGATCTTGGGGAGATCTAATGGTTCATAATGGTGTGACGCTTCATCTCTCGCAACTCTTCATGTCTATAAATAAGACCCCTTAGTTCTCTCTAGGATGCCTACAACCACTGCCTTCCAAACATTCCAAACACTTCTCATCATTCTGTCTCCTCTTTAGCAATCGAGAATTAAGTACCTATCAGGTACGTCTCCTTTCTTTTCTTTCTTTTTATTAGTTCAAGCAGTAGTGTAAAGTCTTTTTTTTTCTATGCGGGATGGAAGAAATTATTTCTTCAAGTTCATCCTTCAATTCATTATTTGTATCTTCTAAACCATCTTCTTACCCCACTCTTTCTACCCCTATCACCTTTGAGTTATAAATTACAATCGCAGTATTATATCCTGTGTCCGTATGAGGTGAGTGAATGCACGAATTAGAGTATGAAGCAGGTGAAAGAAAGGGTGCTGACCTGACAACTCGAACTGGATAACCCTGGAGGCAACTAACTTGAAGGGCACGGTTGTACTTCTCAAACTTCTGGTCAAAAGAGTGACTCTTGTTGGTGCGTTTGTTGCCGCTAAGATCCTTACCACCACTGCAATGCAACACAAAGAGAGTGAACAAAAGAAAGAAAGAAAGTGGAGAGTAGGGATTGATAAAGCGTTTTACCTTCCGGTGTAGAGAAACCACTCTCCGTGATCCTCGTCGTCCACATAACCACCAGAAAGAACAACCGATTGGGCACCGCGGTCTGATTGTCCAGCAATGCCACCGACAGGGACGAAGTGAGCACCCCATTGCCTGCATTCGAGTCTGTCTCTCCAACTTTCACCAACCAACAGACCCTGATTTCGCACAGGGTCATTCTCTGCGGTGATAGGACCAAAATGGTCCGTAGGCACGGTGACGAATATTTTCCCACTAGCCGCGTTTGCACGACCATTCCTCTGTGCACGTTCAGTAGTAAACGGCTCATCAGGTCTATCTTGATTGTGCCGGAAATGGTTAACATTCCGCACACCTACGCTGCCGCCATTGTTGTTCGATGCCGCCCTGGCCATGCGTATTGCAAATACGAGGGCAGAATTGATACGGGGCTGGCTTGCCATCTTCACCGGGATAGCCTGCCGGCACTTGGCACAGCTCCTCTTCCCTTGTCGGACCCATTTCTCAAAGCACTTCAAACAGAAGCTGTGCCCACACGGAGTCTGCGTCGGTTTAATTTAACAATGAAATATTAATATTGTTTATATTTATTTATTCAAATGTTAAAGAGAGGACTGAGGAGAGGTAATGGTGGGTCCACTTGAGGCCTTATTTTGAGCAACAAAATCGGTAGTCAATGACATGAATGAAAGTGATTGGCGTTAGAAATTGCAATAAATAAATGAATAAATGAAATATTAAATAAATTAAAATAAATAAATAAAGGAGAAACAGAAAGGGATGAGAATGGTGACACAAACCGTGACAGGCCTCTCGGGTAACTGGATACAGATGGAGCAGTTGAGAGATCGAGTGAGAATATCAGATACGGACACTTTATTCGGTTTCTCCGCCTCGTCTTCTACGGGAGCCTCCCCAGTCATGAGTTCTTGGCGTTTTCTGGCTTTCTGGTCTTGGGTGAGAGACGCGTCCTTCTCAACCGCCAACATTGCAGCCACGAGCTCGTTGCGGACGGGAGCCGGAGCCGGCGGAACCTCAGAGTCCAGAATAGAACAATCGGGACACGACCACCCAACCGTGGCTGCGAGGGTGGGTGGAGCGGCAGACAGGCAAGGCACATGCCAAGGAGTATCGCACGTGACGCATAGGAGCCTCTCCTCCTCCCCAGGCACGGCCTTGCAGACCATACACACGCCTTCGCTGTCACACGGAAGCTGCGTCTGTGAACTCATTGCCAAGCAGTGTCTGAATCTGATGGTGTCGTTTCGTTTATATAGCGGAGGAGAGAGTGAGTGAGCGGGTTATGAAAAGAGAGAGAGTGGTTTTGAATTGAATATGAACAGAACATGGATGGTAATCCAGCTGTACACAGTTTCATCCCTTCACGCACCAATTGCCTTCCTCCCTTCCCTTTTCTAAATCACCACAATACCCTTTTCTCATTACCACTTTTACCCTTTTACTAAAATCAATCATACCTTCTCTCTCTTCAGCATTAAATATATTTTTATTTTTATTTTTAAAACATTAATTATTTTCATTTTATCGTTAATTACTATGAATCTCAATTGTAGGCTTTAAAGATAGAGTTAATCACCTATATACTATTAATATAAAATTTATTACACTGACAATCAGTTATATATTTTAATTGTGTCTTATCACTGTTAAAAGTAAATGTATTTATAGTGACATGACACATTAAAAATATATAATTGGTTGCTAGTGTAAAATTTTTTTTACACTTACAGTTTATAGGTGATTAAATCTTAAAGATAAAGTTCAAATACTCATTTTTTTAATCACTATAATTTCATTTACTTTAATTTTTATATTTATTTTTTTTATTTTTATGTTTTAAGATAAATTCTTTTAATCTTTATATTTGTAATTTTTTATTTTTTTATTTCCATTGTTACTTTTTTGTTATTTATAAATTTACATATTTTGCGTTGACATAATATAGATATTAATTTAATTTTATATGTTTAATGTTGAATTTATTTTTTTAAAGTTATCCTAAATTAAGTTTATGATATTTTATGCTTCTTTTTTTTTCTTACGTGTGATATTTATTATTGAGATAGGCTTCCATCATATAAACAAAAAAACAAACGATGTTACACTAAAAATTTAAAATAATTAAAAAAATGTGAATATAAAAACTAAAAAAACATATCTTAAATTATAAGGACTAAAAAATTAATAAAAATAAGTATACAAACTAAAAAAATCTATTTTAAATTATGGGACTAAAATATAGAGTAAGTGAAACTATAGTGACTATGAAATATTATTAACATAAGAATAATATCATATTCAGTCACATACTCTACACATATACGAGGTTAACAATAAATTAATAAAAAAATTTAATTGAAACAAATATAATAATTATTGGAAACAAAAAAATCTTTTTTTCTATTACGCACAATAATGATGATGAGAAACATATTAAAATAACACCATAAAAAATAGGAAAAAATTACACAAGTTTATTTAACGTGGTTCAGCCCTTACGTTTACAAGGATGTTCAATATTTATTTTAAAATGTGTTACATATATCTTGAAAATCCTCCCTTCAAGTTTTGTGGGTTAAACTTGAAAACCCCTTCATCACAAGTTTTATGGGTGAAACTTAGAAACTCCTGTCTCACAAGTTTTATGGGTGAAACTTGGAAACCCCTTCCTCACAAGTTTTCTAGCGAAACTTGGAAACCATCATTCACAAGTTTTATGACGAAACTTAAAAACCCTCCTTCATAGGACCTCTTCTCTCGTTTAAGGCACTAACCCCTCTACAGGTCGGGTGATTCTTCTAATTTCAAAAGTCTCTATTTATTGAACTTACATCACAATTTTAAAAGAGGAAACAAAAAAGATATTGTATTACATAATCATGACTCCTGAAATAAATGTGATTAGATTTAAAGTTTCTATATCTTGTTAGAAGTTTTTAGTATTAATCTTAAAGTTAAAAAAATATAATTAGTTTTCATATATATATATATATATATATATATATATAAAGTAATTATATTTAAAAATAAAATAAAATTATTATTTTATAAAAAATTAGATTTAAAAAAATAAAAATCCTGTTCAAAATTTGGCTCTTC